CAATTATATGCGGTATATTAATAATCTAAGCTCTAGATATAACAAAATACATTACAGAATATCAACAACAAAAAAGTAGAAATCCTTCCAAATTGATACGATACTCGCCGAACATATTATTGAACTATCTGAAATCAATAAGTTGGCGATTAATGTGGCGTTTGAAGTGAAAGGTATTGAGTTCTAATCTCCAAGTCAACATAGGTTCTAGAATCCAAGCGCATTCGGTGCATATCATTGCTTTGCACTGTTAAGTTCATTCTAAATATAATAATTTACAAGTTCTTTTACATTTTTTTAATCCAGAAACATTTACATCTAGTTAAAAAATTATCATTAAACGGGAGTTATATTTAGTTTTTATCTTACTATCAGTCCATAGTAATATAATTGTAGTAAAAACAGATAACTTCATTTATTTTCTTAATCTACAGATTGTATTTTCATTTCAAAAACATTTAATTCTATACTATTAAGCGCAAATAAACAGTAAATCAATCTACTTGAGACTGACTAAATTTAGAATTAATATTAACATTAGCTACAGAAAAGGTGTCTTGACAGTTGTATCACTCTATTTATAAAAGATAGACTGAAGGTTTGAAAAATTCTCTGACTGCTTCTATTTGGTCAGACAGACAGTATTACGAGGTCTTACACAAACAATATGATTCGAAGCTCACTAAGTAATCTTGATTTAGACACACATACCCACGAATGCCATCCATGTGGTAGTGATCATTTTATTTTCGAATAATTTATTTACTAATAAGATCTTATAATTCAAATAACTTTCGAAGTTTACATTAACTGTTACTAACACTTGTATTCATTTTGCTTAATACATAATATATTATTTTGTTATTTAGTGGTTGATCTTTAAACTGTATTCAACACTTTGTAAAAGAACTGTTGAGGTTATGAGATCGCATGAAGTTGTTGAAAAAGAACTTTCTATCATTCGATCACATATCTACAGGCTTGTATACATAAACAAGAGTAAATATTATGAAACATATTGTAACAATATGGTTAGTAAATCCTTAAACTACTTATAGTTAGTAAGTAAATGATATAAGCAACCCTGTTTATAATTACTAAGCATTATCATTTAAGATGAAATCGCAACTCTACTTAAATCTTTCCAGATAACAAAGAGTTGTTGATTGTTGTTTAACTTGAATTACCGCTCAATACCACTACAATGTATTAAACTACAACTAATAGATTTATTTAAATTTTAAAAGATGATTTTATTCTATAGTTTGAATAACTAATATTTGAAAAGACAGTATGTTAAAATAAAAAGGGATTTAGAATGGATCAATCAAACTTGATTAATTAAATTTACTTAACGACAGTATTTTCAACACAATAAACTAACTTCTATAAGTGTGGTGTGTGCTACTTATATCGAAATAAGTAATATATGATGTTAGTTGTGAACAGAATGTCTGGCAGCGGAGTGACAAGAGGATCGGACAGTAAAGAATGGAAACAGAATGCAATATGTGTGAAAATGCAAGAACAATGAAGTCCGAGTCATTTTGAGACAACTGATGGTCATTTTACAAATTAAGCATTTACTATATGGTTGTTAGATTTCATCAACAAGTTCTGAAATTTTGTGTCCAATACATTCAACTGTCCCCAATGGTGTTACTGTTCACTACATAAGTACTGCATACCTTCAATTGTCAATGGGTTCATCTTTAAATGATTGTAAAGTTTTTTTAAGAAAAAATCTAAATGGACTTTCAGCCCATGTATTGAAATTGGTGAAAATATGCAAAAATTCCTAATGGGAAAATTAATCAATATTACAAATGAATGATATGAAATTAACAAATGTTGGTTACAACTTTTTGAAAGAAAGGGGTTTAAATATGCAGGTCATTTGTTTTGTCATTGTTCATAATGTTTAGCGTACATATATATAACTAATCAATTTGTTGAAATCGAAAATACTATTGACCTAAAGTATATGTATATAATTACAGCCATTTGTTTAGTTCTTAAAAGAAAGAATATTTTTTAAAACTTTAATTTCAATATAAGCCAAGATGACGGTGGCTAATAGTGGAATCCAGGAAGCGCGGTCCGTTCTGTTTGGGGCTCACTAACTATATTCACTTGCATCCCAGGGTTAATGTTCACTCCGAGACTCGAACCCAGTACCTTTCACTCGAGACTCCACCGTGTTATCTAGCTGACGAGTCCCGAACGGGACGAGACGCGCATATTTAGATTCTACTGCTACTCACCATCATCTCTGCTTATAATGCATATCGCTTATAGCAATATCGAGGTGATGCACAAATGCTAATAAGGGACTGATCAGTTACAGTCATAAACATCAATTACTTGCTTACATACGCCTGTTACTCCATATGGAGGAGTAAAGGCCGCCCAACATCAATGGGAAGATTCAAATAACCGAAACCAAAATTGATTTAATTACAAGAATTTTATTTTTAGCGGTTTATGTTATCCTTCCAGTCCAGCCTTTTTTTCAGAAGTGAGATTCATATAAATTTTTCAGTCTATGTATTTTACGAATAGTTAAATCTTGAAATTCCTACCTTCTGTTACATTCACTTACACTACATAAGAAAAGAGTATACGCGTCGTCCAACTAATAAAAGTAAAAACTTTCAGGACTAACTGAAAAACATAAAAAGCTATGCCAATTACTTATCGCTTTAAGTTTAGCTTTGTAAAGAATAATATTTTAATCTTTCTAAAATATATTTGTTTGATGGAAAAGTGTCAGTCGTGACATTTGTAGACTAAGACTTGTATTGTATTAAAGATAAATTACATAATTGTTTTAATGCAATTTTCTGAGAGCATAAGTTCATAAGAGATAGTTCCGGTATCGTTTTTCCGAATCTTAGGTTAATAATTTTATTAGGTGTGTAATGGGCAGTAATCATCCATTTAGATTTAGACATGTGCTTGAAATATATATATGAGCTACAATTGGCCCATGAATTCAACTGTTAAATTACTAAATTCATCACAAAACCCCCTTCTAATAATCATCATCTAATCACAAGTGACTGGCTTCAAGAGGTATTTTCTGCAGTTCTAATGAGAAGCCGTGACCAGTGGAGTTCAATTAGGTCCGTTGTGAGATATTAACTAACAGAAGACAATGGTGGACGGTGGCACAATTTTCTGAATTAGTTGTAGTTAGACATTAATACCGTTGGATGCCAGCTCAGTGGTCTGGTGGTTAAGCGTTGTCGCGCGAGACCGATAGATCGTGGGTTCGAAATCCGCGGGTGAGGTCGTAAATGTGCACTGCTATAAAGTCCCAAAATAGGACGAGACGGCCGTCCATTGCTTGCAGGTTTCCCATGATTGTCTAGCTTCAATCGGCTCATAAAAACAACTATTAAATTCATTATAGTTGGAGACGATTTAGAAACTGCTCTATAATTCTCCAGTTTATGATTAAAAACTAATTTCAGAAATCATCAAAACAAATCGATAAAACAACCAATGAAATGAATTCTCAGTCCTGTTACATCACCCAACGTATAAATTTTTCTTTTTATTTCATTAAATGAAATCGAAATCAGTCTGATTAGTTCGTTCATCATTAAATTTTTATGAACTAACTACAGAGTGGGTCACTATTACTGCATATAGAATATAGAAGAGAGGAAATAGCTTAGATCTGTGTGTATGAATGATCGATATGTACAATGTGAAGTTCTTGGTGGAAAAAGAATTCATCACCACTACAATTATCATAAATTGTTCTAATGTGATATCCAAGGTTTAATAACCGACAGCAGTTAAATTTATACGAGCTTTTGACTTGAAAAAAAGCAAAAAAGAACCATATGAAATTAGAAATCATTCATTATTAGTTGAATATGTTGACTGATATATAGCCAAACCAGAAAATACTTAGAAGCTATCACATTTTAACAATGAATGATGAACCGATAATAAATAAGAAACATGAGATGTTCATATATAACACTATGGTAAAGTTAACTGACATATCAAGTTTTTTTTAAATCAACGGACTTAGTCATTTTAATATCATCAGCCTCATAGTTGTGAACTGTTGGTTATTTAAATCATATAATCTTCTTACCAGTTAGATCTAAAATAATGATCTTAACAAAACTTATGAACAAGAATAGTGAATTATTTGAAGCAATTAGTCCGTTTGATAAATTTCGATAATGTAATAAGATGACGAAGATTATCAGAGTTATTTGATATCTAAGTGCAATACGTTTCGAACAATCTGATCACATATATAATTGTTAGGAAATATAATAGGTCAACTAGACTAATGGAGGGAAAGAGTAGATAAAAATAATAAAGAAAATAATATGAAAAACAAAACAATTTGGAACCTCATCACAATAAGCTAATATTGCCAAAATAGGTTTAAGTTGAGAACAAACTATGTTTCAATAAATATAGGCGGTTCGAATTTATGTATGACTAAGGCTTTAATAAACCTTAGTATAAACCGTTTATTGGATTTCTCATTCAGCTGAACCATTTATTCATATGAAAGAATATATTTATATTTTAATTGACTATCGAACGAAAACATGATTATTTTTTCTTTTAGAAAATATCTATTATTCTTTATTTGGTCACAAAACGGATAGTACTTGTTAACTACAAATCAAAATACTTATTGATTACATTTAGGTTTCCAGCTCATTTTTATACGACTTCAATTCAACTCAACTGTCTTACATACCGTTGTACTCTTTAAACTTGGACTAATTTTAATTTGGTTATTTATTCCCTAAAGAAGTGGCTTACGATAAGTCACGAAACGTCAGAAAATCTAAATTTCCTACCCATTGGGATATTACAAATATCTTATTTTATTTATAACAATCTACCCAATGCTCAATTTAATCGAAATTATCATATCAAACCTTGGTAATGATACCTACATATCTTATATATTATTACAAACATATATGAATAAAATAAACTTTAAAAGTACTTACTTGAGAAAATTCTTATAATACACGGAACAATTATTATTATTAATAATTTAATGATTAGTTCAGTTCCCCCATCACTCATTCAAAGTACAAATGAAAGTTTTACACTTTGAATGTTAATCTCTATGTAAATATGTTTAATTATGATTATATGTAAGTATATATGTATTTAATTAGTCACTAAGAATGAATATATTAAATATTTTCGAAAATCTTTATAAAATTATTTAACTTTACTCTCCTCTAAACAAAAAATGTATTGATAAGAAAGTTTAAAGACGAACAAAATATTGAATAAATTGAAGCCAGTCTAACTACTTGAAGTAATTAAGATACCTAATTGTATCGCCTAATATTTTTGCCTGATTCTTCTATGCACAAAATGCACAACACCTACACATTAACATTCATAGACACAATTGTTTATACATATCAATACACGCCCACATGTTGAGATATAGTTACCTAGTTTGTTTGTTTTTTAAGAAAAGGTAAAGATGAATATAGATTTATAAATACATTCTTGCGAATATGTCGATGTTTAAATGCATATAACTACAATAATTGAAGACGAAAAATGATTTTTCTATAGAAGAGGTTAACCAAACAGAAATAAACTGAAATAGGCACTTTAGTTTAAGATATAAGCGTCATTAACACTGTTAAAGGGAAGTTAACCAATCATATACTAGTATGTACGTATGCCTTGTATTATAAATGTAACACCTAAAATAACAGTAATAATAACAGTAATCATAATAATAATAAAATATCCTAACATAACTTATCTATAGAATATTTATAAAAAAGTGGGATAATTATGGATTTTTGTTTATTTTTATATAACTAGGATAACTATAAATCAATAAGTGTATACATTAACATAATCATTAAAAATTATAGTTTGTTAATGAATTTAAGGAATCTATATTGTTATCTTCTTCCTATTATATCAGATAAGTAGCTACTAATTTGTATGAGTATTTAACTGTTATGTACGAACATATTTTTTTTGTCAAATTTCATCCTGAACTAATGTGTACTAGTGAACCATTAAAACCTAGAAGAATTTAATAACGTAACCTGTGTCACCTTACCTACTAAGAATAATATTCACTTAGTGACTATCGGCTACCAATATTTTGGCAGGGAACAGTCAATCGTGGAAAGAAATAGATAAGAAGTGAGATAATGTGTCACGGATAACATTGAATAAAGATTACCGTATATCTCCAGTTGATTAAATTCGGATGTTCTATTAATTTAATTCAGCTACATTGAGCTATATTTTATAGCCAAATTCTCTAGATTCAAACTCCTATGGAAGCAGTAGTTATGTGCTAGAAGGTTGTCTTAAATAAGAGAAAAACAACTATTCAGTGTTGACTGATATATCGATTTGTGATATAAACCAATTTTTAAACGCACTTTTTAGTTCATCGATTGTGAAGCTTAGAATTTAAGCTTAATGGAGAATTACTTCATCTCATTCTAAGACGTTATAAATTGCTTGTATATTACAATTCGCTGCTAATATGTAACAGATTAACGTCAACTTATTTATAATCTTTCACCATGCTAAGTTATTACGTAATCTTCAATTGTTTTCTAACCTTTTTCAAAATAAACTCATATGAAAATCAAAACTATTCAGTAATTTAATGAAAGCATTTTTTTTCAGTTTTTATTGTATGGAATGCATATATGAACTACTTCACTACATAAACCACTGTCTCAAAAAGCTACAGAATGCATGTATCAACCTTCAATAGTAGTTTTTCACTGTGATCTTTCAAAACAATTTTACATGACTTTATAGTTCAAGTATTCCTTTCTAACTTATTGCAATTCTTGCCATTTATTTTACATAATCACTTTATGTTATAAAATGAGAGTAGTTTATTCCTTTATATTCGTTTATTTATTTATAAGATGAGATCAGAAATCAGAAAAAATATCTTTCATTTATGTTGGAGTCTACGATCAACTCTTGTGGATAAGGTAAATAACTTCGAAGTATCAATAATTCAGTATGATTATATTATATTTTATTTGATAGATAAATCGATAAATTTAACAAACAGTAATAATAAATCAAGATTGTAGATTCATAAAATTGTTGCTCATATTTTATCTCATTATAATCCAATAATCAAACTACATTATTATTTACAGTTATATGGAAATTGTTGTGATTTTATGGCCCGCTAGTTATCGAGTAATCTATTCGCCAATCAAAATACGACTTATTCGCTCTTATACTGTACTAGACCAATGACGTCCGACCGGTCTGATCAGCCTAGCGTCCTGTTAGTCTGTTGCTCGCCTAGCCCGTCCAGCTGAGTCCAGAATGCCAATGATATCCTCCACAATGCGAATCATTTATTTCAAACATACTGGGTTTATATACTAACCAAACAGACCGCTACGCACCATAAACTAAAAAATGACATTCATACACAAATAAGCCAAAAAGTGGCTGTGAACGTGGGAGACAGCAATTAATAAACTGAGTATAACTTATGAACAGTAAATCGTACAATAATAATCTGTAGGTCAAAACAAAGCTTAGAATAAGGACAATATAGATAAACATAATCTAGTTACTGAATAGTTATACCATAAGAATATATAGATAATATTAGTTCATCAATAGGTCTCAGAAGTTACTCGTAATTTAATGTTTGCTAGGATATAACAGAAATGCAAACATCATATTTTTTCCGGTGAAATACAAGTGATTCACAAAGTACTCAATTTAATAACATTGAAACGAATCGAAGGGTATGTGTCATTAAAAATAAACTAAACATCTGAAATTCTCCTAATGAAACATCTAAAAGGGAGAATAAAATTATCATTCTAATTCATTTAGTTTTATTTGATTAGATTTTTTCAATTAATTTTTTCTTCCATAACAGTTAAACTTAAATAAAAGTAGCATCCTTAGTGAAGTAAGTAAACAATAGTAATATCATTTTATGAATAATAAAATGAGTTTGAGAAAATGTACATTCGTTTGTACATATTAACATAAACAATAAATTTAAAGAAAAGAGGTAATATGTTAAAACAAAAACAAAAACAAATAAATGAAATTGATGTTTTTTTCCCACAATTTATCCAAACTTTTGTATGTTAGACAAAGATATAACATTTAATGCTGTTCAAAACTTGATCTACCCGAAAATGTCATGTTTTCATAATTTAATGTAAATGAATAGACTTCAATGTTTATAAGAAATCATTTAAGAGTTTTTTCCGTATTCTACTTATATTACTTAGAATAGACTTAACACTTTTAAATCTGAAAACTTAATACCATTTTATACGAATATTCGTCAAGATTAAAACAGGTAGTTTGATAGAAGTTGGGCGCCGAGTATAGAGAAATCATTTTGATTATTACCCTGAAGACGTTCGGACACGTTAGCTGGACGAAACGTTGGAATTATTTAAATTTCAATCGCTGAGATTATTTCAGATATAATTTTCACATATAATTAGTACCATTTTCATTAAAAATTTCATAAAAGGAATACTTGTGAAATCATTACTAAACATTAAAGAAATCCCATTGTGAAGATTAGAACAACACATGTAAGCGAACAATTGCTTTCAATTAGATCGTCATCAGGCTTTACTCTAATATACATGAGTAACCCTCCCTATCACTTCCATGGCCAGTTATAACTTAACAAACGACTTTTTCATTTTATTTTATTTCGTTATTATTAACCTTGTTTTTACATCCAGTATTTCTTTGTAATTTTTCACCTCTTTCCGTTTGTATTCTTCACTATCTAATTATTTACTCACTTCTTATTTCGTAATGGTTTTAATGTTTTGTGATGATTATTTTAAGTCTATTTACCCACGTTTGACCTTCTATTTCCAATGCTTAACTATTGATATGACTTTTGTTATCGTGTTTTATCATTCTTATTACTATCAGTACACCTGTCTTCTTACTATCAACTTGTACTTTTACCTGTTATGTATGGTGACTTATTCAATTTCATTGTGATTATTGACCTAAATTACCTTGATTGATTTAACATTTTCGTATAAATATTCATGTATATTACAACAAAGCCTGATGACGATCTAATTGAAAGCAATTGTTCGCTTACATGTGTTGTTCTAATCATTACTAAAGCTTGATGTGGTAATTTAAAATAAATTAAGCAATGAATTAAATGATAAGATATTTGAAATATCCCAAGAAACCAAAATTTGATGTTTCATAACTTAGTAATTTACATTAGTAAAAGATGAATAACTTGGTTAAAATAACACAAGTTTGAACAATATAGAGAAGAATCAAAATATTTACTAATACTTACTTACACCTGTTACTCCTCGTGGAGGAGTATAGGCCGTCCACTAGCACTCTCCATCCAACCCTGTCCTGGGTAATCCTTTCCAGCTTTTTCCAGTTGTTACTATGTTTAGTAATAATCGAGCTAAATTAAATCATTTTAGATGGTGTAATAAGGTGATAAAGATTACCAGAACTATATAATGATCTATTAGCACAATAAATTTCAAACAGTTTGATCATACATATATTTGTTAAGTATATTAAGCAAATCAAAAGATCAAATGGACAAATGGAAGTTAAACGGAAGTAATTAAATAAAAGAAAAGAATATCAAAAAGAATGTTGAAAATCTTGCTGAAGATCTAATCAAAAATAGCTAACTTTATAAGAAATATATGGATGACATTTTATTTATCTGTAATAGTAAGGAGAATATGAAATGATTATTAACCAAATGGGAAAATATAGTGAAAATTCCCATTTTGCCATTTGGTAAATAAAGAAGGAACGAATTGAGCGGAGAAGTTTCTCCGCTCAATTCGTTCCTTCTTTATTTACCAAATGGGAAAAGTTACTGATTCCGTAATAGTTTATGATTGTATGAATATTGCTAGTTCATTTCACATTTGTACTAATTTCTGTATACAATTTGTATTACTTTTATTAAAAAACAGTAGATAAAACAGTTTATCAGTGTTTTTAGACATCACAATAACTAGTTTTTGAATAACAATTGCTAAATATTTGAACCTAATCCGATGATCATATTTACCAGCTAAGATTTTCATCTGGTAATCAATCAAAAAATATTCGTTCAGTTAGATCTATGAACAATATATAATTTATCTTAAAGGAAAATCATAACTGACACAATACAGCTGGCGAAAATCAACAAATGGTAACAAGAATGAGTAATATGGTTTTTATTCATAATCACCAAAAAATGTTTAAATAGTTATAATGAGAACAGAAAACGGAATTTCATAATTTTACACGCAATAAGGAAATTCAATTTGTCAATACATATTAAATTGACCTAAAATACATAGGAAGAAGCTAAACCAAGTGTTTTGTGGTTTTACTGCAAATGATGATTCAGAA